GTAAAACTGACATGGCCTTTTAAAAGAAAGAACCTAATCTCAAAAACTTCAAGTATCTCTGAAATTTCTACTGTTTAGTTTAGCCAGTGAAGTGATTGTCATATGAATATCACATGACAATGAAGTACCCTACAGGATGCAGGTACCCTGCTTTAAAATATTTTGTCTCTATTATTCATTTTTACAAATAGTTAACAGTGTATTTACAGGACTTACAAAGGTAATAGCAATTTGTATGAAATCATGCTAAGTAATAAGATATTTAATGTAAATATTCCTTACTATGCACTGTTTAAATTTAACAGCAGCAGACATGTCTGTCAGAATCTAAGCTTTAATGCACACAAATTGTCTTGAGGACATCATTATAGTCACTTCTAGTAAATAAATAACAGCTCATGAATGAAAGGTTTGGGAATAGGTTTGGTGTGAGATTAGGTACTTATACGATAATTTTAATTTTACCTTAGAAGTGTTTATGAAATTAATATCAATCTGGATCAACACTGGTCCAGACAAGTACCATATTAAAATTATAAATGTGAACAGTAGCTTAATGCTGTAAGAATTATTTCTGCATTGTGAACTGAAAGCTACAGTCGACTCTCGTTATCTCGAAGTCATCGGGACCGTCCTAAAATATCGAGGTAACGAAATGTCGAGATAAACGTATTAGGGTTTGAATAAGGCAGAAACTGATTTTTACAAAAGACATGTGCATACCTTATGTCAAATGAACTATGATATCCCCAAGTCTTGTTTTCATAGGCCTAGTCAATATTTAACAAAGTAACATTAGTGGATGTTTACCAGCGAAAATATGGGTTTCTGTGATAAAAACACATAGTGAGGTTTACTCAGTAATACACCAATATAGTGAAAACATTGTTTTCAGGGTGGTTGCTCCGGATATCCTCCCGGGTTATTTATCGGGTCTTTCGTGATGTTGTTCGACCGCTGATTGATTTGGTGGTAATGTTGTGAAACAATATTGCAACGATAGCGTTTCTATACTTTCACTATTTCATTTACATTTAAAGTCATAATGAGTTGATACAGTGTTTGAATATTTATAAAGAATGTAAAATTCACTCATTTTGGACATAAATCAATCAACACCCTAAATAGATTAACTTTTATAAAAACAGCTAATCATGTTACAAACATAATCATCATTATGGCACGCGCTATTGAGCAATTATCGTCTAGTTTATGTTTTTCACACGTCTGGAGGGAACAGACGAAAGAAAACTATTACTCGAGATAAACAAAGGATAATAGTGTGAAAATAACTGTTGGGGCTGAAATTGTACATGATGCCGAGATACTGAAAATATTGAAATAAAAATATCGAGATAAACAAATATTTCCAATATAGATAAAGAAGGAAGAAAATCGGCACTTTCATCGAGATAACAAAATATCGAGAAAAGCGATGTCGAGATAACGATAGTTGACTGTATATTATGTGCATATAAATATTTGTATGTTAAGATGATGTACTAATGGTACAAATCTAATAAAATAAATGTTTTGTTCTGTTCTGTTCTGTTCTGTAATAGTGATGAGACCAACATGAAGTGGTGGCAAAGGTTTAACAAAGAAGGACTTCAAAAGGGCTTAGCTCTTCCACCAGAGCCCAGAATCATCCTACACATAGAAACAGTAAGTTTATCAGGCACTTGAAGCCTAATCAATTAAGCGTGAATGGTTTGACCCATTTAACAAAATGTTTTTTTATACCCCCGCACAACAAAGTTGTAAGGGGGGTATACTGGAATCAGCTTGTCCGGCTGTTCGGCCGTCCGGCTCTCCGTCGGTTTTTTCTTGTCCGCCCAATAACTTGAGATTCCTTTGACCCTTAGTCTTCATATTTGGCATGGAGGTTAGTCATGATTAGTAGATGACCCCTATTGATTTTGAGGTCACTAGGTCAAAGGTCAAGGTCACAGGGGCCTTGACTTCAAAAAGCTTGTCCGCCCAATAACTTAAGATTCCTTTTGACCTACAGTCTTCATATTTGGCAATGGAGGTTAGTCATGATTAGTAGATGACCCCTATTGATTTTGAGGTCACTAGGTCAAAGGTCAAGGTCACAGGGGCCTTGACTTCAAAAAGCTTGTCCGCCCAATAACTTAAGATTTCTTTGACCTACAGTCTTCATATTTGGCATGGAGGTTAGTCATGATTAGTAGATGACCCCTATTGATTTTGAGGTTACCAGGTCAAAGGTCAAGGTCACAGGGGCCTTGACTTCAAAAAGCTTGTCCGCCCAATAACTTAAGATTCCTTTGACCTACAGTCGTCATATTTGGCATGGAGGTTAGTCATGATTAGTAGATGACCCCTTTTGATTTGAGGTCACTGGATCAAAGGTCAAGGTCATAGGGACTTTGACTTCAAAAAAGTTTGTCCACCCATTACTTAAGATTCCTTTGACCCACAGTCTTCAATATTGGTATGGATGTTGATCATGACTATAAGGTGACCCCTATTGATTTTTGAAGTCACTGGGTCAAAGGTCAAGGTCACAGGGACCTTGACAAAAAAAGTTTTCTTCTCAATTGCTAAAGAATGTCCTGTCCGCAATGTATTGACATTTTCACATTTGAAGCATGTAGAATACAAATCTTAGCAATGCACTGGCTTAGTAACCTCAGATTTGGCAGGGAGGTTGTCCTTGAGCTCTTAATGGCCACTGTTGATTCTGACAAAGTGGTATGCGGGGGTATTCACACCATGATAGTGGCAGTTCTAGTTCATATAACTGTCAAACTAGAAAAGACTTCACCCGTTCAAAATAATTATCTTGATGTCTCTGACAAGCCTAATAAGTTGGACTAGATGCCCTTGAAGCAAGACTAAGTTCATAGTCAGATAATCATATTTGCTGGGATTGACAAAAAAACCATTTAATTTGGATTTTAATATGTGATTGGAGACCTAAATATATGTTTTGTGCAACAAACAGGTCATGCAGTACTATAAAACCTGTTAGCTGAAGTCTCTTTACCTACCACAACCAATTGGTGTCTGTGTATCGATTTATTCAGGGAATAGACATATACACATACAATGTTATCACATATATCAACTTGCATATATATATAAACACACATAAATGCAACAAAAATAAACTACTGGTTTCCTAGCAGTTTCCGTCCCCTAGCAGTTTTCCGGCCGTTTATCATTTTCGACCAGTACAGTCTATTTTTACCAGTAAGGCATCCACATTACTTCATCAATTAGAGAGACATTTGTTTCCTATGCTAAAACAGCATTTAAAGTAATACAAACGATTTATATGTTTTGAAGTTTTGCCTGTTATTTAAAGTTACTTAAGAGAACTTGCAACTTTAAAAAAATAAGCAACACCTGGGGAATTCTAGTTTGAATATCCATTCGCAATAACTAAGACCCCATTTTAGTAAATCAATACTTCGGAAAATATTTTTGCAGACGACACGGAAAAGGTTGGGAAGTCCTGTTTGTCTGATAAAACCATCTTAACATTGCTTTATGGTACTGAATTATATTCAAAATAAAAAAGGTCCGGAAAACTGCTATGAATTTTTGAATAAAGGTGAAAAAAGGTGTTACATTTCAGGCCTATATTCAAATTAAAAAGTTAAATGAAAGGTTAACATTAAACACATGGCACTGCTAGACAGGTACCTAACTTTGTCTTGTCAAAGTTTTGTACCCCTCCCTAGACTGATTTTTATTTTATTTGTTAAAAAGTGCGATTTGTGGCCGGAAACTGCTAGGAAACCTGTAACTTACATGATAATAAATGAATTATAAAGAAGTTAAAAAAAAAATAATTTTCAACAATCAAGACACATTTTTCAATATAATAAGACAAGTACATTGTACACAAACAAAATGAAATAAATTTTGTTTAAACTTAAACATATCAAGTACAACATAAGCTACACTCATTCAATATTATCCTCTATATATTTTGTACTTTTAATAAAGAAAATTTAATATATATATATAACAAGGGAGGTAACTTCATCAAAACTACCATAACAATTTGTATTGATTTGTAGTTGCCCTTTGGTAGTAGTGTAGATGAAGAAGATCGCAGATTCGATTTGATCTATGGCAGGAATCACCTGTCTAAAATAATAGACAAAGATTAAAGGGTCACTTGTTATTCCTGGTTTGGGGGAAGGGGGGTGGGGGGGCTGGGGATGGGAAGCCTTCAACTGATATCATTACCGCCATGGACAGTTCAAATTATTCTCCATAAAATAGTATTTTCTTATTCAAGATATTCATCACTTTATAATCATACATTTTTTTTAAAATAAAATTAAATATGTTAAGTGTATATAAATGTTGGGCATATGAAATTGGATGAACCACAGCATATGAAGGCTAAATCTGATACACCATGTAGTATTGGCCAATAAATAAAAATAATAAATCAGGCAATATATATATAAACCATCATCTTAATTACTTAAGGTTATCTTATCTCTAATCTCTATTAGCAACTGGTGTGAAAGGCGTTATTCATTTACCCCATGCCATGTTTTATTGTAATTTGTCAGGGGTTATCTGCCCCTGATATCAGCATGTCCAGCTGATTATGTGATATGGTAGCAAGCAGCTGTGTATTTGATTATAATTTATGGTAAGTTATGCTGGGAGGTGAAATAAATCATAGAAAATAGGAACAGTTTGCAACATTTTCTGTGTAAAAATGATAAATTTACTATATTTAAGATGATATTTCTACCAAGTTTCATAAAAATTGACCACAAGGTCTAGATATTTTATCTGTAGAAAGAAAGACGGGAAGTTATAACTAAACTGTGCCAAGATTAGTACTGGTAAAAACTGTTTGACTCATCCCTAATTAAACATGTTCAGCATTTGACAACACTTGTCCTTTTAATTTCATTGAAGTTTTGTCTTTGTCATTCGTTCTGCATTACATACAATAAAATAAGACATTTTAAAACAGCATGTCTCCATATCCATGCAAATTTTCATGAAAATTTTGAAAATGTTGTAAAACTAAAATGTTTTGAAATGAACAAAGAAAGTAATTTCCACATTGTAAACAGCAATAACAATCCACATAAATTGCTTAATAAATATGCAAATGTAGCCCTTACTAATATGGTTTCTGATACCGCAAAACCAGTCAGTACTATCTCACATAACAATTTTGTAAATTATTACTTGAATATTGAATCTTTTTTTTTTTAAAGTGTTAAGTTTGATTGAATTGAAATACTTTGGCTAATTATCTGGAGGCATGCAGCTTTAATTTTTGTGTTTGTGTATAAAGTATGTATGTAGTTTTATGTACAACTTGCATGCATGTAGTTATATGTACTATAGCATGCATATATTTAAGCATTTTTTTCTTTTCTCATTTGAAACATTTCAATGGAGATATATCAGTTACTAGATAATCACAGTTCATTTGTAATTACTAAAGATTGCACAAATCAGGTTAACCTGAAAGTTTTTTTTCTTTCTCTGCTTAATTTGTCCTTTTTTTCAATTTTAGGAATTTATCAAGATGAAAATTCAAAGCTGGTCAGAAAACAAGTAGAGCCCACAAAAGTAAAAAAATGGCTTGTATGTACAATGTGAGGAAAAAGCAATTCACTTTTGGTTTCAGCATTTCAAAAGAAGGATTTTTACTGAATAACATTAAGGTAATTTTTAATTAGGTAATTCAGATTTAAAGTTAACTTTCCTATTTGAAGTTGTTGAGGTAATATCTAGTTTCCTTCATAAATTATAAAATCTGCCCAGCCACCAATACAGTATGTTATAGGTACAATAGAAGTACCTATAAAGCCCCACAATGTAGTATCAATATGGTATCACTTAAGTCCCTGCTTCTAGTGTACTTAATTTTATGAGCAATCAAACAGGGAGAAGTATGGTAAGCTTAAATCTTGCCCTAAGCAACAAAATACCTTTTACACCAGTATAGAACCATTATACCAGTTATTTAGCTACACTGTTTAGTTATTTCTTAGAATTCCCTGAAACTTCTTATTGACATTTTGATATCGTATTCTAAATAAAAAGATGGCAAAGTCCAATTTCAAAATAAAGTGATGACTTCAAAGTTGAAACCACATTTGATGTCAGGAGTTTTGAGACTGTCAGTTACAAAGTAAACTTTCTATATTTGTCAACAGGAATGTTACTTTATAAATAATTAATTGTATTGTCCTGAGATTGTAGATCAATGTAACATGATATACCTCATGTATATTGATGAGACCACAGTGTCTTTTGTTCTATTTGTCTGTAATTGTATATGGTATAATGTCTGACATTCATTTGTTTAATTAGGTTTGCTGCATGTTTTACAGATAGTATTTCCCAAGAAAAGTAAAGGGTATAGGGGGCAAAGATGAAATAATATATTGTGTCTGTACTGTTTTGGTTACAAAATTATTACAGACTTTCAATCCGTGAAAATTAAAGTGGCTTTTTCCAGACATGTCTTTAACTGTCAAAATTAGTCATAAAAGTTTGATTTTTTTTTTAAATTTTAATATTCTGACCTCTGGAAGAGTAGAGCTTTTGTAAAGATTTTTGACAGGTGTTATATGGCCTTATATACTGTAAATGGTTGTTTGCAAATATAACCTGGGCAGCTAGGAAAATGTTTTATATTGCAAATCAACTGTTTATATATGGTCATATATCCTGTTAATAAACTTTATAAAAAAAAATACTTATAATAAAGCAAACTTCCTTTACTTGTGATAGAAAAATATAAAATAGCTTCATTTGAATTGACAGCAGCCATTAAATATATACATTAAAATTATCCAGTGAAAAGTGACAAGTATTACAAATAAAGACATTAAGGTACAAATACATTAGGTTGTTTAAGAAATTATATATTCCAAACAGTGATTTTATTGCTAAATCACTGTTTGGAAATCGGATTCAAGGAATTATATCATGAGGGCATAGCCCGAGTGATATAATGATGTGCATCCAAACAACAAGCGTTAAAATCACTGACTGGGATATATTATTTCGATTCTAACACAACATCAAAAATAAATGCTGCAGTACCTAATATCAAGCCTTATAGCGGGTGATTTGTTTCCGTACTTATTTTCAAGGCATCGCATTTTTTTATGGTTACGTCACATATCTAATAATTACATCACATGTCTAAATACAGAGTAAACAGTGATGATTTTATTACATAATAACACACACTTTTGGTCCTTCTATGTTCATAAGGGAAAAATGCAGGTCGTTAGAATTGAAAATAATGTATAACTTTCATGTCATGTTAGAATTAATTAAAACACAGTCTTAAGATATTTCATTTCTTATAAAGGTAAACTAATATACAGGGATTGATGACTGATGAAAAAGTACTTCAGTCTCACATGATAACATCTTATATCTTCAGGTATACAATGGAGAAAGTTTGTTTGGGGATTTTTTTTAAAATTGACAGACGAAGGTGAAAATGGATAATGACGGTAGACACAAGATGATCACAGTTGACAACTGACACTCAATAACTATGGTAACACAACACAGGTATGATATAGAATTAATTTCTACATAACATGATCTGGTTGCTGAATCATAACTTGTTAACAAAGGGGGACCTCATGTTGCACTGGGACATCCTTGAAATTCTTTATCTATAATGCTTGTGAAATTAATCATTAATACTGTAATTGAAGTATTCAAAATATTTTATATTTTTCTTTTTTTTCCATTCCTTTTAGGTCATATAGGTCCCAATTTAACATTTAATGTTAATGATTACCCAGAGGGCGTGGTTAGCATCTGCTTTTATTTTAAAAGAACTTTAGCTCTATATAAAAAAGATCTACTTATTTTATGATTTTTATCTAATAAAATATTTTTTTGAGTCATAACTTGATTATTTCCTCTCCAGGTCCTTGATGAATATTGATACTGGAGGTATGATATAAAGGGGACTACTGTAAGGTGATATGGGGGTTTAAGTGGAGACAGAAGAATGAATCATTATGGTGTTAGTGACCTGGAATAATGACAGGTAGATATGTGTATTGATATTTGATTTCCGGAGTTACCTGATACTGTCACATGATCATCTGATTATTTGCCAGTCTTTGGTGATATGTTTCAAATATTTATTTTTTTAATTGTATCATGTTGCATGAGGTGTCTCATTTAGCAAAAGTTGTAACATAGGTAAAAATACAGCTAGTCTGTCTGTCTAAACCAATCTTTGGACAATTTATCTATTGACAGGTTGTTAAAACAACATGGCTTCAGATTCATGCTAATTTTCATGAAAATTTTGAAAATGTATTTAAAAGTAAAATTTTTTGAAGTGAATAAACAAAATAATTTACATGTAAGTTACCAAAAAGAGGTCAAAATATGCAAAAACTAGCCCTTAGCGTGTTAGTCATGCAGTAGCAATATGATAATAAATACTGCAAAATAAGTTATTAATGGCACATAACATATAAAGCATACTTGAATTTTGAATTCTTTTACTTTTTATGCCCCCGCCATGTAATGGCCGGGGCATATAGTGTTACCCTGTTCCGTCCTTCCGTCATTCCATCATCATCAGTTTCCGTTCATTATCTTAGTAATGGTTGCACACATTCAACTCAAATTTGACATATGGATATGTCATGAGAATATACAGGTCAAGTTCGAATTTGGTCATGGTTTGATGACTTTTGGCAGAGTTATGCCCCTTTTACTTTGAAAATAATATGAAATTTTCAGTTTCCGTTCATTATCTCCCCAATGGTACAACACATTCAACTCAAACTTGACATATGGATATGTCATGATAAAATACAGGTCAAGTTTGAATTTGGTCATGGTTCGATGGTTTTTGGCAGAGTTATGCCCCTTTCACTTTGAAAATAATATGAAATTTTCAGTTTCCGTTCATTATCTCCCCAACAGTACAACACATTCAACTCAAACTTCACATATGGATACGTCACAGAAATGCGCAGGTCAAGTTCAAATTTGGTCATGGTTCAATGATTTTTGGCAGAGTTATGCACCTTTCACTTTGAAAATAATATGTAATTTTCAGTTGCTGTTTATTATCTCCCCACCGGAACAACACATTCAACTCAAATTTGACATATGGATATGTTTTTGGAATGCCCAGGCCAAGTTCAAATTTGGTCATGGTTCAATGATTTTTGGCAGAGTAATGCCCCTTTCACTTTGAAAATAATATGAAATTTACAGTTTCTGTTCATTATCTACCCAACAGTATTACATATTCAACTCAAATTTGACATATGGATATGTCAAAGGAATGGGCAGGTCAAGTTGGAATTTGGTCATGGTTCGATGATTTTTTTGGCAGAGTTATGTCCCTTTCACTTTGAAAATAATATAGATACATTTTAGGAATAAGCAGTTTAAGTTTGAATTTGGTCGTGGTTCAATGATTTTGGACAAACTTATCTTTCTTGAATGTTGGAAAAATTTTGAACTTTCAGTTTCAGCACTCATACTTTTGTGGAAATGTATGTAGCCATTATTTTGGCTACAAATATGAAATATGCTATTTTCAAAAGGTTAAGACTGAATAATTTCAGTGCCTTGAACATTGTATGAAAATGGTTTGTGTTAACATTGAAAAGTTTTAAGGGCTTTGAACTTAAAATGAAAAAAATAATTTGTGCAAACAAATTTGGAACTAAATATTATAACATCTGAAATTTTGGCTGCATGCGGGGGCATCTGTGGCATGATGACACATTTCTAGTCTTACTTTGTTAATACATTTTTCTCAAGATTGATTTACTTGAAATATTTTGGCTTGTTTGCGGGACTTATATGGTTATCGGAAGTCCCAGCTTTTTCTGAAACAAAAAACCAAATTATTGCGATGCAGTGTTGGCTAATATGCAACCCTCATTCTGATATATTTTCTATAATATTTTTTCGTACTATTTTTCGGCTATAGATAATTATAATGTTTTTTACTTTAAATTAGCATACATTTTTTTACATTAAAAGTATTTACTAAATTACACATTGCATTCAAATGATTCTTATTGGAAAAATGTTATGCAATATCAATCATTTTATCATTCCTGACTCATTAAAACCAGTCAACTTTAAATTCATTTAATTAACATATTTACATTACCCCACCCCTATCCACCCACAGCCCTATCCTAAAGTTATTCATGCCCTCAGGCCTATAGTTAAAACACAACAAAACAATAGGACCTTCTATTTCAAACAAGTACCTGTGGAAAAATCAATCAATTAATGAAACCACTCCGTTTGACCTCTCACCTGTAGATCAAAGGTATAACCGCATGTAATTTTCCTCCCAAACTCCCACCCACCCTGTACCAATCTTAACACAGCTACATGGTAATTAAGTCGTTTAACGGTTAGATTAGGTTACCTGGCTTTCGTGTGCAAGTGCTGTTGTGGAAAATGTGCTCCATGATTTACATGAATAGTATATAACATGGAAAAATATAACGCTGGGCTCTATCATTGACTCAGTTGGCTTTTTCTGTTATTTTTATGTGAGCTTTTTTAAAAATTTATTTCTTTATTTTTTTTTATTTAATTAATATAATATTTTACGTGCTGACTCTACCTACTGATTCATGACAAAATGGTATAAAATAGTGTAATAGGATTTTTCCTACTATAAGGTATATATTAGTCATTTTAAAGCCTGATGGCATTTACTGAAATTTTTTCCTATAAAGAAAATACAGCTTGCCGACTTCTTGGTTTTTAGGAAGTTAAAAATTCTGACATTATCACACGATTTGGAAATCTGACTACTACAATTAAAGGGTATAGTAATTTGGTTCTAATTTACTGTAAAGGCACCTTGTTAGTTTTAAGTACCTCACAAATTCAAGGTCATAAGAATTTGAGGTTCTGGCACTTTGCCTCTTGGTTTCTTTTTTCTTTTTTTGATACACAAATTAAGCATAATTTAAGTGTGTGGATAGTATTTTTTGGATTTGCTTTTCTGTGTTAGCTGAGGCTGTTTGGCATTTAGATGTGGTTAAATTTTATAAAAAGTTAAAAAAATTTCTAATGTTTATTTGTAAGTGAAGAGTTATGTTATTAAGTTGTCAGTTCCGTTCATTAAGTCTGAACCATTCTATTTCAGCTGCGATTTAAAATATTACCATAAGAAGTTTTTAAAATCTCTGACACCATCATTCTGTAAGTCAAAATAGTATTTTGTTCATTTTTTTTTTGCATGTGTAAAGATTTTGATTTTTAATTTTTTCTCTGCATCATAAAAGTTTTATGGATAATTGAATATTAAGAAAATAATGATTTAAAAATAAAACAATCAATCAATCAGTTAATTCATTAATTTCATTCTAATATATTTTCAGTTTGTTTTTTTTTGTGATGTACAAGAGAATGAATGAATAAATGAGTAAGTGAAGTTGGAATAGAATGATTGATTATTTGAATTATTACTGGAAATCAAAGTGTTCTGAATCAAACTATTTAATAATGTTTGATTTATTGATTCATTATTTATTAATTTTGATCCGGATTTATTTAAGAAAAATACTATAAAAACACTTATATAAGTAATAAAAAAGAAAGAATATTTATTTATTGAAATTTTTTAAAAACCAAAATAATGATTTAACAAATTAAGACAGATGTTCTACAGTTACATTATCATGGTAAATTTTTAAATGGCAACATGGTTTATGTTTTTGTGAACCTACTTAGGCAGCACAAAAAATTTCACATGAATCACACTTATGTTCTAAAAGTGTGAATTATAATCAGAATTTTCATGAAGTGTATCAGAAGTGATAAACAGTTCTAATCTTATCTACCCCCCATCATCTTGCATGAATTTATATCAGGCAGTTGAGATGCTATCCTGGCATGGTCTTTGCTGTTTGTAGATAAACACTGGCTGGTTTTACTGAAAATTCACTTAATTTAAATTCTATATGATAAAGATAAATATCATATTACATTGTACTATGGTTAAACAGTATTGTCTTGTTTTAATAGTATACACTTAAATTTCAGTCAACTTTATCATTTGTTCCTGTTCTGAGTTTAATAAGAGACCATCCAGCCTTAATTCAGACACCAAACCCTTTGTCATTTTGTCTTAATGATACAATTATTTATACATTGTAACTGTAACATTCTAAAATATAGTCAGCGACTTTGGCTTATTTGGTGTTCCAATTAACTAACATTAAGAAACAAAAAGACTGAGTCAAAAGTACAACCCGTTGAGTGTTAACCCTACAGAATAAACAACTTTTAAAAGCTGTTACAGTTTGAAAGATCAAAAATGTGTTAGTTGAAACAGGGTACTATTTGGACAGACCCTGGTTCACAAAAATAATGATTTCTGTTAATTGACTCTAATTTAATCCTAAACCTTGTTAATTTTGCTCAATTTGTAATCCTCACATGTTTTGATTTTGACTTGGAACTGGTGCAAATTAGTGTGAGAGATTTTGATATCATTATGTTAATAATATGTAGCAGCCAACAGTATGTAGTCAGGTCCAAATTGTTCGTAACAGGTGATGACTTTGGAGAGGTGAAGTTACTTGAGAGGCAGTAATAATTTTGGATGTGGTGATATTTTTTTTGGATACTGGAGGATGGGGTTTTTTAAAGGATTTTTGTTATTGGAGGGATGTTTTTATTATTTTGAGTTTATAAGGAGGGTTTATTTTGAAGGGTTGATTTTAATTTGGGATAAGATGTTTTTTGAGGCTTTGTTTATTTTTAAGGGTTGGGGTTTTTTTTGGAGTTTAAATTTTTTTTTATTTTTTATTTAGGGGTTTGGGGTTTTTTATTTTGGGGGGTTTTGATTTTGAGGGTTTGTGTTTTTTTGGGGGGCGAGGGGGGTGTTATTGAGCTTTTTTGCTTTTTTTTGGAGGGGGATTAAATTATTGGGGAAATTTGTGCTGTTTTTTTGTACAGTTTTTAAAGTTTGTACTAAGTTTTATATCAGTTTACAAAATTAATGAACTGTCAACATTAGTATTATAGTAAAACTGAC